AAGGAAAAACAAAAGAAATATGAATCACTTAAAATTCATGAAAAATTTGCTTTAAACTTTGGTAAATTTATTCTCTCATCACATCAAAGTCAAACATTTTTTGTCATTTATTTTATTCTCGTTCATATTCTTATCTTTCTTGTAAGCTAAATTTATTTGTAATATTCGCATCGTTTTTTTTTGTTATTATTATTTTCATTCTAGTCTCCTTATAAAATGGTTCATGTTGGTTCATCTGTACGTGATATGTCACAAGTTTGTTTTGATAAGTATGAACTTTTCTTTTTCTTTTTATTTGAATTGAAATCAATTAACTTTTTATTTAGATTTCGAGAACATATGGCAGGTGTACATGGAGAAAAGAATTTTCATTTTGAACATGGTCATGCTCATGCTCATGCTCCACCTGGTGTTGTTCCAGCTGCAGCACCACCACCTCATCGATAGACTTTTCATTTTATGCGTTAATTTTCGTTTAAATATCGCTTCACGATATTATCACATTCTACTAATTAATAAACACTTTCTACTAACATACAGAACCTTTTTTTTTACATATACAATTGTACATGATCGTTGATCTTACAAATAAAAATTTCAGAATTTATTGCTTCAAATTTTTGTAGTTATTGATTAGAGAGACAAGCAATAAACAGAATACATGAGAGAGATGAAAGGTTGAAAATTATTCTTGTTAAGTTAATAGATGCTATTGTTTATTTCAAGATAAAAGGTGAATGAGTATTTTTTTCAAAAACTTATATGGAAGCATTTCTCTAACAGTTTTAGTCAGACTTTTTCACAAATTTGCTTCTGTGTCGTAAATTGTATTTTGATGATTAAAATATTTTATTAGTAGCAGTCAGAAACTAAATCTTTCTATAGTTTTTTTAGAAAAAAAATAAAATCATTTTACTTTCCTCTAGATTTTAGGTTCCTCTATAATCTATATATGATATATATTCATAAAAAATAGGATAATTTCAAACTATTCTACTAGATTTTGTACTTAATTCAGAGATCGATTATATAATAATTAACGTTTATTTTATTTTTTTCGTCTTTTTTACATACACTCGCCACTTAATTACTTTTAAATGATCAGTCATTTATAATTATTGAAAATATTATGCTAAATAAGCAAAATACACAATTACTTTAATATTTAATATAAACCTTGGACTTGTGAGGCAACAAAAATACGAAATAATCCATATTAACTATCTTTTGTATTCGTACATGAAATCAGTCATACATTTTCTTTTTTTCTTGCTGTTCTTACAGGTGAGATAATAAGTTTTATTCATGTATGTGTTTAAGAAGCATTGATACGATTAGCATAAGCTAAAATATATCATTGCTTCGATATTTAACATTGATTTTATATTTATTGTTGGAGGTGGAGAATACAATACAACTGATTTTTATCTTATTATGTGCACCTACACATTAAATCATATAGATAAAATATCTCTCTCATAAGAGTAGGAGTATAATACTATTCGATCGAATATCCGATTATAATCATTGAAGGTTTCATCATATAAAGAGAGAACAAAAGACAATTACTTTTATCGAAATATATTTGTTTATCATTACAAATTTTTTGACCTCTAATTGTAAATTTATCTAAGGACAACCTATTATCTAATACGCTTTTATTTTAATATTACGATTTCAGTAGATAACTCTTATGAAATCATAAATTTTCATTCAAATAAATCCT